CAAACACCATCTGAATACTTGGCGGTCCACCACTGTGCGATTTACCTGAAGTTTTTTTTTTTAAATAAAGAAGAAAAATTATTCGTGACTTCATTCAGTGCGGATTGTGTTTGTGACTGTACCAGACTACGGTATTAGTAGATGACTGCACAGCCGCACCATCGAAGAAAAACACTCAGAAACAGAATGATCAAAGAAATATATTCCTTAACAATACCAACGGCCACGGAAATATGTATAGCTCGCGGCTTTTCAGGCTTTATCGTGCTATAAAAGGCCCTGTGTCCAATGAAGCTATAAAAGCCCACTGGATAACGGGGAAGAAAATAGGTATATGCCGTGTACAGTGCTTCGCAAAGTTAATGATGAGATATGAATACCCTTTTTAATTGTAGCAAAGTGTTTCATCTTATTCCTCAAGGAAACAACTCATCTCTTGATTTTAAATCGATGTGTTTTTTGAGACTATCGTCAAATGCTCATTTCACACTCTTTCTGTTATAGAAAAAAAATTCAGTCTAGTCTAATCATTCATTCATTCATTGCAGCCTATCAAAAGTTCACTGTCAAACATAGACCTCCCCCATATTGCCTCAAAGGCGATATATTTTCCATATTTGCCAATATTCACATGCACGTTGGCGGCCGCATTGTTTTATTATTTTGAATTGTCGTCAGGGTATGCTGCTGCCCATTCTCTACAACATTTCGCTCTGTCACCTCTTACAATACTCACGGCATGATGCGGGGTAGTCAACTGTGACCAGTCAATAATTACTTCGTACTACGTAAAATATTAAGTGTTCCGTTTGGCTAATTTTGTCGCGGACCCCTAAAACTGAGCTATTAATGTTTGCTGCAATAATAAGCATTAAACAAAATCTCTAACGACATAAAGGGATTGATACTGGGATCCCATAAACATCACTTTATATTCAAAGATTGTCCCCCAATATAAAGGCAGCACACACGTCTGAAGTCTGAATGACTACAGATAATAAATTGGCGGCAATTTGCCAATTTGCGCCGTCAGCTAAGCATACCTGGCGGGTAGGGAATGTTACTAAAATGTTTATTATCGATATAAATTATTTTATCGTTTATATAGCTCATTACATTTAGTGCATAAATTTAAAACTACATAAATGATAATAATATGGCTACTTATCTTTTATTATGACGGATATTTTTTTACAAAAGAAAAGGTGACAAACAAGAACAAGTTGATGCTCTAAAACAAGGACAGCCAAGGCTATTATCGTTAAGAATGAAAATGTGGATGCGGTATCACCTCCGAGAACTAAAATGGAATGCCCCGTTACCAGATATAAAGGGTGTCTGATTCTTGTCACTCGCCAAACGAATCACATCAGCATTACGGTACTAATTTGTGCTGGTATTGTGAGTGTGGCCCTTCCGTGGCCGAGACAATCTATTCGTTGCAACATGTGATCCCTGATGGTAAGTTGATGCTATTGATTAAAGACATCTACCTATCCTCGAAAATTAAACAAAGTTCTCTTTACTTACCATACGGAATACAGTAGCATTAAGTTGCTATTTTACGCTGGTAAACTCTGAGAACGTGGTTCTTCTTCCCTGGTTGATCCGACCAAATTGTGCTACTAACATAAAATGATTGCATAGCAGCAGCATGCATCTAACACGTGTTAACGTGCTTATTTATGGCCTGGTGTAAAAATATCGTCTAAGCATGCCGGAGAAATGAAATATTTAGAAAGCTTAAGAAGTCTTCCAAAATGCAATAGAGCAGTGCAGCAAATTTAATGCTTCAAAAATCGCCTCAGAAATGGTAGAAGGTTTGTGTTGTACAGTGGCTGTATATTTTTGTAAATTATTTTGAATTAATTTGTGCAGTGTTTACGCTATCGACACCTTGACCTTGCCTTAATCGTCTTTAGGCAGCCCATCACTAACGTTAACAAAAAGCCGGTGATTTGTATCTGAAAATGTTTTTCTTGATTCCCTATAGAACAGCCGGTATCATAGTGTTCTTATTGCTCTCGCGATTTATACTGTTTTCATTTGAAAGGGTTTTTGTTGGAACATACGTTTGTCTGAGACGTCCGAGTGAATTGAATTATCGTAAATAGTCTCATCCCTTATAAAAGCATTTAATAATTTACTGGGTAATATTTCCTTTGGATGTCTCATACAGAGTAAGTAAAGCGTCTTTTATTCTTACAAAGCATATTGAGTTTGTTGTTGGCATATTTTATTTATTCTTTCGTACCTCGTTTTAAAATAAATAATCCAAAATCAATCCCACATCCAGGCTGACTTACGACAGAATCGAGTTCTAAATCAATCGAATTTGATTCAATAATTGAATTAGTACATTAGTAATACATAATCCCGTAACAAAAGCTAACGCAATCGAATTGTAGTTTAAATTAATTAATTCTCTGCTGGATGGCTCGCGTTGTTACAAACAAAGACAATACGTTTTCTTTATACGTTTTTTCTATTAATCTAGTAATATTATTTGAAAAATGAATTTCTTAATTTAAAAATAGTGGAACCACGGACATTAATAATTTAACTATATAAAACAATCAGCCAGATATCTATGCATAACAGCACTAACAGCACTTGATCGTAAATCCACCTTGTTCCTCGATTAAAAATCGAAAACCAAATCGAATTTAAAATAATTTTCGGGAGTCAGACCTTCAGGCCCTGCATTTTTAATTCAATTTTATAGAGAAAAATCTAAGCCAACCTTGGAACTTCCCGCTTTTTCCAGCTGGAAACGCTCCAAAATCTTCCAATGGAGAAGATAACAAGGTTACTATATTAAACTTTTAAGTACGAAGGTAAAATGTCTAGACCAAACACATAATTCTAGTTTTTATTTCACATCGATCGGTGCACTATTACCGAAGTTATAAGCGTAGAAAGTTTACGTAAGTTTTTAAAATCTCGCCCGTGCCCGCGAGTAGTGCGTGACGTCATAGATTCCATGCGGCCGCGCCGCCATACCGTTCCAGCGCGCCGATCATACGTTTGTAGTAATATTTCGCGGGTGAGTTGTTTGCCCTCGTGCGCTCTGGTGTTTTTAAGTATTTAATGATGGAAGAAGGGTTTGAAAAGGGCCAAACTGACAACCTTCCAATAGTCCGTAACATGATGGTGGCGGAATATTTTCTAAGAAACAAAGATTTTGTCGCGACTGAAATACGCATAAGAATAAGATATTTTTATAACCTAGGTACCCATTATTACATTAATACTTCTAGGTTTCATTTGGTAATGATAAGAATAGGTATAACAAAAATACGTAAACATTCCTTACGTACCTACTTACTATCTGCCTCTAACTAGTTTTGTTTTCCTATTCTTCATAAGTGTACCCTGACCTCTTTGTGGTTTTTATGGTTAAAAAAATTCCCTGTTGTTTATAAAGAAATTTACTACAAATATACCTTCGGTGCGTAAAAATATGATTTTATCTAAAAATCAGATGTTTTCAATATTAATAGAAAAATAGTCGCATTATTATTATTATTAAAATCGTTGTTATATATTCTTCATGCAAGGGATCAATGTCAATATTATATCTAGAGTAGTAACAGGATCGACAACATATCTATGCTCAATTTCCTGTGAAGTAGTGGCAATCGCATGTGCAACTGTTTCTGACCTAGATTTGGCATTTAGTTTTGATAGTAAACATCTTTCTGGTTTTTCTGTATACCGATTTTGACAAGCAAACTTGTGAGGCAAAACATCTTTTTTTAAGTTTGAGTGGACCACCAACTAGTTTGCACTTCACGTATTTTTCCATATCGTTTTCGACCTAGAACGAAATACAAACTTATTTAGTCTATAAAAAAATAAGGAACCTCGTAATTTGTATTCCATCAATATTTAAAATATCGTATCGTATAAACTATGTAATACATAAAAATAGGACAACACTAAAAAAAATTAAGTGCTCCACTTCATAATCAAACTTCTTCCATTATTTGCGGCCCGCAAAGTATGCGGGTTGAACAGCTCTGCGATGTGTTTAGGTTTTGCTCGAAATATCGTAAAAATATAAAAACGTTTCATATTCCATATCTTAACCTTTATATGCATTATAAACATTTTAAAATTTGTTGCAAACATAGATAGGTATCTAAACTTACGAACTGACGACAGGTCATTGACTTATCTACATTACATAGGTAAGTACTTTACCCAAGTTTGGATGTTTATTTACACTGAAGTAGTTTTAGTTAAATATGTAGGTATTAAGTATTGTTTCTTCTTGAAATTATGATCATTATGCGTGGAAAGATTCAATGAATCGTTAGTTACTTAAACACTGCGAATCGAGTAGGTAGGTACCTACATGCCTAATAGAAAGCATTTACTAGCAATAACCAAGAGCTGTCATGTGAAGGTTATATATTATTATTTGAATACTTACATCCAAATTATTCTCACAACAATATGCTACCGTGTTTGGTCCTAAAGGATGTGCTCTTCTCATAGCATTTGTCCATTTTTTTCTGATGGTAGGGTTTCTAGGCACATTAAAAAACAACTTTTCAGGTGTTTTGTGGCCTTATTTTTACATTGAGGCACAGCACAATATTCAATAGATGGATATAGAGAATAGATAGCAAGTAGATCCGCGAACGACGGGCACATTTGAAGGGTACAGGGGCAAAACAAGAAATGTCACAAAAACAAAAAGTTGTGTAATTAACATTTCTACATTTCAAAGTTAACAATTTTCTTAGGTATGGCTTAAACTTATACACTGCTAATAAAAAAGTTAAGTTTACCTTTTAAAGTGTTAATTTAAGAAAGAAAAAATACTTTTATGGAAATAAAAAAATTGAAAATAATAAAAGATTAAAGTAGTTCACTTTTACAACATACAAAAACTGGGAATGTCCAGTGTGTCCCATACAAGGAATGTCCAACTGCCTAAATGCATTGCTGATTATGTATGAGGAATGCTTTCAAAGTAGGATTGGGCCCCCTCAGAACAAAAATCTTTTTAAATCCATTAAGTCCTTGTACTTTTCTGCACTAATGGGTAAGAAATTGATATAGGCAAAATCTGGCAATTCAAATTCATTTGATGTGTCATTTGACCTGGGTTCCTTTTTTGGCACAATAGGTGATTTCTCCCATAAACCATTATAATTACTTCTGTGTAAAATAACTCTAGGGTGTTCTCGTACACACTTCAATTCTCTTTGGGACTGAATAGGAAATGAGCATGTTTTCATGTATAGATTTTTTTTTAAAAATTGTAAATTTTCTTATGTGTTCACCTACTCCTACCTCAATCACCTCAAAGGGTTTGGGTCTTTGGCGACTTACTCTCAGCAAATCATACCACTGGTATGGAACTTCAATGTGAGCTTTTAGATTGATTAGGCCCATATTTTTATCGCATTCTAAATACGAATGTCCTCGTATTGGATAAGTAATTTTGATAGAATCTAAAAGTTTCATTTTATGGACAACAAAATGAATAAACCTTATCACTGTGTAGTTCTTGTTCTGTCCACCTGCTGAATCACAAAATATTTCTAAATGCTTTACACGACTATTCAGGTGGTTTGGTAAATATTGAAACAGAAATGAAACCACTTCATCTGAACCCTTACGCCCACAGGTTTCTGGATAGGTGTAAAAATAGGAGCTTGCATCACCCAATGCATGAATATTAAAAGAGTACATTGATAATTGACGTTTGTAATAGACATCGCTTGTGGTGATGTTTGGCAACGACACATTCTTCTGGTAGTCCATGGCAATTGCTTGAAATTCCACATCTGTTTTGCTCTTGATTCTTGCATTTTTCTTACGATCATAAAATGTTTGAGCCTTTTTCTTATGCAAATTGTTCAGAATAGTTAACCGATTAAGTTTTACAATATTTCCTTCAGCTCTCAATGCCTTCGCTTTTATTTTGAATTCATCACAAGCACTACAGGTATCAGTCCTAGGATAGCCAAATGACAAATTAAACTCTGTATTAAAGATGGTTCTGTAAGTTTTATAAGATACATGATTTTGTGACTCGTATGCATCTAAGTACAACTTATAAATTTTCTTTATGTTTAGGTCTTCAGGTAGATATTCTTTTTTTGTATCATTCAAGCTGTAGTGACTTTGCCGTCTTTTAAAGGATTTTATATGATTACATATCAAATCTTTAATGTTATTGTCTAATCTCTTGTTTGAACCTGACTTGCCTCTTTTGTCACTTGGTGCAGTACCTGACATTTTCAATGACTTTTGAAGATGTTCAAGTTTTCCTTTGGTAATGCCAAATATGGATAAAAATGCTTTGTAGCAAACAGGTTCTTCTTTTGTCTCATCATTTTCTATCACCCTCACTTTGTAAGTGAAATGCGTTTGATGGAAATTAGCATCCATTTCTTCTGTTTTTCTACTTCGCCTCCTTTTTATTGAACACACATTCTATTCTAATCAATTCAAATATCAATATCTATTCAAATCATTAACAGCAACTCCGAACAAACACTCGAGATAACCTCAGAGTTGACTTAAATATTTTGACAGCTAAGACATTCCTTCTTACGTTCCGTTACAACATGGACCTTCCCTGTTTTGTTCCTGCACACAATTTTGAAATTCTAGTAATACATCTGACAATGCTTGTTTTTACGTTTTTGTATAATACCAAATAAAAATACACTGAGAAATGAGAATGTTGCCATCATAAATTAACTTTTGGATTTTTTGTGACATTTCTTGTTTTGCCCCTGTAACCTTCATTTGAGTAAATGTTTTGATTTTCGCGTCGGGTCGCTCGCACGAAGATGAAAATTGTGACGTCATCAACGATGTCGCTCTCGGCCCGTGGCTTAGACCGAAAATGTTAACTTTGCGCCTTTATACCTCGGTCAGTTTTGAAGATAGAAAAAAATTAAAAAAACAGTTATTCTCGTAATTTTTTGTAGAATTTTTTGGCATATAAAACAAAAAATGGTTATCTTCTCCATTGTTTGATCAAAATTTATATCACAGGAGATTATTTAGAAAATTCGTAATGAATATAACATCAGAAAGTGTTAATGATTTCTTATATATACGCGAACACTACACATTGATTAAAACTACTTTTACGGATTTTATCGTGTTTAATTTATACTCCCGACTCATTCACCTGTGTCAAAGTGCACGGCGCTGTTGTCACCGGCTTATTTTCGAAACCGTATCGTATAGAAATTAAAGGAACACCTGTATGTTTCACGAGCTTTGTTCCAAGGCTGTAAGTAACGAACGAGAATTGCATTAGCTTAGGTATCATTGATAAGTATAGTTTTATATGTAATTTTATATATAACGTGATAGACAGTGAAAGAAAACATCGAAAGAAAATTAGTATATCTAAAATAAATAAAGTTTTAAAATACCTAATCGATACTCACTGATCATGAGCTGTGATAATCCTAGTGTTCCTAATACGTGTGTTAAATTTCTTAGCAACAGCATTTTTTATTACTTTTATTCGTTGTCAGGAAGATACTGCTGCTTCTTCTGTTTTAGTTTCCTTCTGTCGCCTCTTACGACAACCACATGACGATATGGCTAGTGGACATTATTAGTTATTACACCGTCTCCACACGGCCACTAAGACCGTATATCGAAGAATAAAAGCTCCAACTTCGAAAGTTATTAAATTATGTGAACATTATTTTACATGTTTTTGTTTTTTGAAGTAGTTTTTAAAAATTTATAGCCTTAATTATTTGACGTTTTTAATTGGACTTTGCAATATCATAAACAAAGTAAAAACTTAAATGTCGTAAATAAAAAATATATCCTCTGTTTCTACCCTTAGGATGGAATTTTTTCTTCAGGTTTAAATGGGATCTTAAGCTATACCGTTACAGCTTACTAAGTCCACTGCTGAATATAGGCCTCCCCTTAGATTGCTCCAAAGGGGGGTAGTTGGCCATACTTTTCACGCTTGACAAACTGCTTCAATCTCAGTTTATTTTTATTCTAAGTCATTTGTATGGAATGAGAGCTAAGTGGACTGTATTTATGTTTTATTATAAGGGAGAAACTGAACTACTATGAAGAAAGCTAATTACTGTGACATCTGTCTGACTAATAACTAAATCGATGACAATTGCTGTTTTAAACTGACAGGGGTTAAGACGAAATTAAAGAACTTCGAAATAATAACTATATTGTACACTATTTACAATTACATTGGGAAAAAAATAAACAGATCATTAAAATAAAGTGACATGAAAATGAACGCAAGTAAGACGAAAGTATGGTTTTTGAAAGAGAAGAAAGTAAAACGGTATGTGAAATAAGAATAGAAGGGGGAGTTGATCGAGCAAGTAGATGAGTTTGTATATTTGGGTTGCGTATTTAGCAGGGATGGAAGATGTGATAAGGATATAGAACGACAAGTGAATGCAGGAAATAGAGTAAATGGGGCCATACATCTATTGTGATGAGTCAAAATGTGTTGAAAAAGGCACGTATGACAATTCAGAATGCTGTGTTGGTCCCTACTTTAACGTATGGTAGTGAAAGTTGGGTGTGGCAGAAGAAGCACGAGAGTAGAATGAACGCAGTAGAAATGCGGTCGTTAAGGAGTATGTTAGGGCTGAATCTGAATGACAGGGTGAGAAACTGTGTGATAAGAGAAGAGTGTGGTTTGCAAGATGGTGTTGTGACCAGGATTAAGAAAGGAATGCTTCGGTGGTTTGTTCATGTAGAAAGAATGAATGAGGAAAGAGTGACAAAGAAAATTTATGTTGCAGAAGTGAATGGCAGAGTCGGAAAAGGACGTCCTAGGTGAAAATTTATCGATCTGATTGACGATTTATTGAAAACAGCCCAAATTAGGAGTACCCTTAACCGACGAGCATGTATGCGTAGGTATATGAATGTGAAGGAGGCGAGAGAGGTGTGTCAGGATCCTGCCAAATGGAAGTCTGTAATCTCTGCCTACCCCTCTGGGTGACAGGCCTGAGTGTTTATGTTTATATGAGAAAAATATTTAATTCTCTTGAGTCTCGTAACGTGTGAATGCTAATTAAGCACTAATATTCAGATGCAGAAACAGGTAAAAGCTTTACACCTACCAGATGGACTCCTAGAGAGGTAAGGAGTCTTACAGCGTAGTAGCAGTATTAGGATCGCGTCTGGTTGTACTTTTCGAATGAAATAAGTGTTAATCCCGCTTTTGCTAATAAAAACTTAAAAAAAACAACAATTTTCTATGTTTACCAATTAGCAGAACTTCTAATACTTCGAATAAGTAATTATTTGATTTATTTTCTACGATGTAAAGCCATGCTGCTGCTACATTATAGCTGCAACACCAATGGGTCGGCTCGACGGGTAGAACTACGCTCTCATAGTATAAATGCGTAAAATATCAGCTTAATGCTGTTGTGTTTCTTATGGTGAATGTAGAGAACCGGACACCGTTTTAACCGGAAACGAGGCATACCATCTTAGTTAATTCTTAATAGGGGATAAATATAAATGAGCCTGTTTTTGGGTCACAGCATCCACTTACCATCAGGTGGACTTTGTGCTCGTTTTTCACCCATATGTATGAAAAAAAAAGCCTCCACGTATATAAAGGTATGAGTAAACTGAAGTCTTCTTTCCATAGCTTGTATTAGAAATGCAGAAAACTAAAGCTACGTAGTCGCACCCCTCAAAGAACAGCGCCTCAAATCGTTTACACAAGCTTCGTACACGCAACGAAGCAGAATGTTAAAATCGTTGAATGGAAACGTAGTGTAAACTCGATTTGCATAAACCTTTGCTTGCACCGCAAAAGACCTTGGTAAACTTCATTACTTTTGCTCCTTTTTTTATACAAATAAACACGTTTATAGTCAACTTCGATAATGAAGGCTAATAATCTTGCGCTCGTCAGATGTCGCTGGTTGGCACTGAGATGAAGTTTTTGTTACACAATGTCATTTAAGTAAGAAGTTAGTTTTACAGTAGTTCAGTTCAGTAGTTGAGTTTTTCATGGGCAGCGATAGTTACTTACGATCTAGTTTACCACCTATTCTACAAAAAAAAAAAGAAAACATTTGTTACACCAAAACTACACGGTTACTTTAATTCGTGATAAATTGACAAAATAATAAATTCCAATAGAAAACTCAAAATAAAATGTCATACTCGTATTATTATTAATTTTTTTACTAACGAACTTATAATCTAGCTAATAGTAAGTAGATACTGCAGCTCATGAACACCTGTTAACTCTGAAGACTATGATGGAATGCCTCACAACCTGAAATTATAATTGCACAGCCCTTCAGACCAGAAAACAGCACAGCACGCAAAGTTTTGCGGCGGAAGTTACAAGCTTTAATTTCTCCCTCTCCTTTTCTCCATTACACAGGCGGTCGGTGGGTTCTTTGTTGTCGATTGTCTACGCATTAGAACCAAAGGAGTAGAATAATTTGTCAGCGTCCCTCTTTTCGTCCGAATACAATCTAGGCATCTTCAACAGTGAATAGGTTTTGTTACGCTAAGGCAGTGCAATTTACCATGGGGTTTCATCACCACTTACCACCGTGATCGTGGTCAAGCATTGGCTTATAAGTAAAAAAACAAGAAAGAAATCAGTTTTTAAACTACCACGACTAGTAAAGCTATTTCTATATTAATTATTTATCCTATATTATATATTAAGTATGTAAATTTTACTAACTATATATCTCTTCTATTCATTTGCATTTTATTTTGTTTTATATCCTTATTATTTATTTATGAAGTGATTGATTACACCTGCCACAGTTTCTCAAACCATCCAGGGTTGACTGGCAGAGAATGCCATAAGGCATTAAGTCCGCCCTCTATATCCCTTAGTATATAAGGTTTATAATAAAGATTAAATAAATAAATAAATAAAAAATAAAGCAACCATTCTTCTAAATCTTCTTTCATAAAACGACGTACGATCTTGCAATCCACCCGATTGTTTGTGGCTACTGCAGCACATGCACGCCTTCAACTAATGTCAAGTAAAGAAGGTTACACACGCACTCACCTCTTAAAACTAAGATGTAAGCACAACCTGTAATTATACTGGCTCTCTATACCCTTCAAAACAGAATACAGCAGTACACGCGCTTTAGCTTAGCGGCAGAAATTGGTGAGAAGTTAGCTTCTATTCTGTTCTTGAGCTACAACAGTAAGATGCCACGTCTTGTAAGGAAAGCATACTTCTATTCCATCATCATCAGCCCACAATAATCTACTGCTGGTATTAGACCTCCTTCGTTGCATGAATGGTTTTGCTTAAACATACGCTTGACAAGATGGCTGGGTGCTACCATCTGCTTGGGATCCTATAATAAATAAAATTAAATCCCAACCCAAGCATACAACTGCAAGACTTCATGATATCATAAGTTCTTACTGTGTAGATTGGAACAAAAGTTAAATTTTAATCTATGGTAACCGCGGTTAACTATGACATCTGGACGTTAAACATCTCAGTCCTTCCCGTGACCATGGGTGCTGTAAAGCTCTCGAAACGTCGGGTATTTAAAAAGTTAAATATACGCGATAAATTCCGTAAAAAACTAGTATTATTTCAACGTTTTTAATATATTTTGGCGTAGCTTCTGGGCCCTTGAGCCACTGTAAAGCACATTCCGTCTCCAAAAGTCTATTGAGAATGATAAACAAAGTAACATTACTTTTTTCCTGGCTTTATTTGAAAATTCAATTATGCGATACGAAATAAGAAAAAAATATGCAATTTTATAAGATATTTTACATCACTAGACGCGTTAGAAAATTTTCAGGTGGACATGGACATGATTCTTTAGCGTTACGTTAGTAGTAGTTAGTACGTTAGTACGCTTAGCTTACACAAGTAATAAAAAACGGAGATTTCTCCTTTTGGGCACTAATGCACTGCTTGTAAATCGTACACAGCCACTTTAACATTTCATAACATTTTTCAGCACGTGATAGTTATTTTTCTTTCTGATGTTTCGCATTACTTTCTTTAAGTGTTTTTTTTTTCTTCGCTATTACTATTTTTAAACGCTTCAAATGTTTCGCACAGATTTTTCTTCGATGTAACGAATGATATGTTGAAGTCATGTGTAAAAATGCGGTAAAACATTATATGATTTCCATAAGAAGCATTATTTTTTACACACGTAATCCTTGTGAAGGTCAGCCACACTGTTTTTTTTTCGTCTATATAATGTCTTTTTGAGTGGGATCTTTTTAAAATGAGATACAATTTTGGATATGGATTTAAATTTTTTATGCCTTTTTTAATTTTTTTATCAACTTTACGTTGTTTACCATGGCATCTTCGATTGTCTTTCATGTCGGTCATGTTGGTCATTGTAGTCTTATTTTTCTTCTTTATAGCTGTATCTACTGGTCGACAATTTATCCCTAACATATTTTGGAAAAAGAGCTTGCATACTCAGATTTTTGTAACAGAAACAGAAAAGTAACAGCTTTGTTATTATTTCACTTAGGTCCAGAGCAGTTTCCATCAGCATGAACTCTAATAAAACGATATTTTGGCGTCACGTCTTTCACAGAATTTGCAATAAAACTCCATTGTTTTTGAATACTTACAGCTACAGCTGTTGACTTTCAGTTATATTTGTTCCAAATTTGAACTTACATGTATCTTTACAGGTTTCCTTCAAATGACGTTCTGATAAAGTTCTTCTTCTTTTGCTTGTCTGGTATTCTTTTCTACTAATTCGTAATCTTTTAGCGATGTTTCTTTTCCAGCCTGCTTCATTTATATGTTTCTTTCTTCCTCTTTTTGATGGAGTTAGAGTATTTGTAGGTGCTAATTCTGTCATTATGTTAGTTGAACTTGGTATCACTTCCATTGTTGAGGGAGCTATGATTTCCGAAGTTGCAGATGTAGGCGCATCTAGTATTACGTTATTGTCTGATATAATGGAGATTCTGATGTCCTTTTTGGAACTGTATACGTTGGCCCTTCTGGCGGCAAGTATCCTTCTTCATCAGAACTACTCTCAATTTGTACGTTACGTTGTGGTATAATGCTATAATTTGGGACTTTAACCGAATCATCAGAGTCTGAGAGGAAAAGTGCATTGCTGATTATTATTTTTGTAGTAATAGTAAGAAAATATAAGCAAAATACCTTCATAAAATAATGTACCTGATGATAACTAACTGCTGCTTTGGCGAATTCATCGTAACCGCCATAAAGGAAGAAGAAGAAGAATTGCTGCCGGAGAAGATGCTCGAAGATTTAACCAAAATTCGCTGAGATATTCTAGCGTCATTCCCTAGTTCATCTTTATCTGAAAATAAGTTTAAGTTCTCACAATGTTTTCTTAATTTTTAAATAATTTAGACAGAACTCACTATGTCATCCCCGTAATTCCACCAAATGTTACAAATACCTACCAACGTAAATAAATAATTACGTGTTTACTTTACATTAGATAGGTATTGTTTTAAATTGTACACTTGTTCAGTACCTATATCTTCTTAACATAGTCAGCCTTATCGACAGGAAAGGAAAGGTCAAAAAGACCAACAAAATATTTGTTATCTGCCTTATACCTCATTATTTGTACACTTAAAAACACTTCCAAAGCCCTAAGGAAACTAATAACCAATGACCTATAGTTGTTGACTCTATCTTACCAGGTTGTACGTTTTCTTTATTAATATTCTCTTTTTCAGCTCCATTTTCATTAATTACGGCCATTAGTTTCTTGAACCGCGACCACATCCGCAACAAAAATAAGATCATATTGTTTTTCCGTTTATCATAAATAACGTGACAGTACGGATATCATTAGCACTTAAGGTGAATCCCTGACCAAAATGTTGCGAAAGTGCGTTATTCAGACTCTATTATCTCATTAGTTATGAAAAATAAACTACATCTAAAAGTACATTATTAATGTTCGATATCTTATCATCGCATTCCACGTTCTAATTTATTTTTATGTGCTATAAATACATTTAAAATCAACTTTTAAAAAATGACTAAAATTCTTGATTACATGCATCTGTTGCTAAACGCAACGCTCTAATCATTTGAGGATAACACTAATGGATAGATAATTAAAAAAATCTATATTCTCCACGTTTTATTTAAATTTTTAAGTTCGTTTTTTTCTCTTTTAATTGAAATAATTCCGAAAATTGTGTGACTTCTATGATAAAGGGGCGTGCGCAGAGTGCGGGCGGCATTACGCTGTATGCGTTCGTACGAGGTGGTCGCGTCGCTGGTCGCCGCGTCCGTATTTCGCCGCAAATATAATATGTATTATTTGATTACCTACCAACCGATGCGCTTACGTCACGGTATATTGTAACTCGGCCGTATCTTAGAAATAAATCTTACAGCCGTGCGGTACGTAAACATGCGATAGGGATGCCTGCCTCCAGCATTTTTACATTTGCCCATTGATTTATGTGTTTTATAACTCAATGCATTTTCCTACTTTGTGTTTCCATTTAGTTTTATGATTGTACTTAAATATACTTTTTTATATAAACAAATATATAATAGGTACTTTGTGAATTGAATAGGAAGTGTTCAATAAAAATGCGTGTCGTTTTATGATTGGTAGATTTAATAAAAAAACCATGTTTATGTTTGAATAACAAATCGGTCTTATAAATTTGCGGCCGAAAAATATTTGCGCCTCGGCTGAGACGTAAGAAATGCTTTATTATTAAAATTTTAAATATAAAAAATCCGCATTATAATATAAAGCTTAATTAAAAATTGTTTTGAGAAACATGGACAAGTTGGAGTAAAGGAATATCTTTTACTTGGTTATAGATACCTGCAGCTACTTTACAATTTATATGTTTGGTTTTAAATGAAGTTTGGATTTATTATTTTTTTTATTTCTATTCTATTTTCTGAAAGGGTCCTAGGAAAGGAATTATCACTGCGCGTTGGCGAACTTTGCATGTCTTCGAAATATTTTTTTCTTATTTCTCAGATATGCAGGTTTCCTCACAATGTTTTCCTTCACCACTGAGCACGTTGTAAATCAACACTTAAAATTGCAATTACAATATTATTGGTGCCGGCGGGGATCGAACCCGGTTTGCTCGCACACTGTGAAAATTTTAGCAAGCGCTAACCATCTGAGCTACCACGGCTCCTCTCCTCTCGAGCTAGACACTTTATTTTATTTATCGTCAGGCCTGTTGGTCTAGTGGTTAGTGACCCTGACTGCTATGCCGCAGGTCGTGGGTTCGATTCCCACCCAGGACAAATGTTTGTGTGATGAGCACGATCATTTGTTCTGTGCCTGGGTGTAATTTATCTATAATATTTATGTATTTAGAAATATATAAGTATGTTTATCAGTTGTCTAGTACCCATAACACAAGCTCTGCTTAGCTTGGGACTAGATGGCGTTGTGTGATAGTTGTGGAATATTATTATCATTATATTATTATTGTTGGGGTATCTGTATAGTTTTCTCATCTGGTTGGTTTTTATAAATATAAATTAAAATGAAAAGATAAATATACATAAATATCAATAAAATAAAATAAATACAAAAAATATACAAATAAATAAAGATCCAACCATATTAAATTGGATCGATAGTTGGGTCGATTGATGAGTCGGTTGTTGGGTTAATTGTTTGCGTTGATTACTGGGTTGATTGTTGGGTTGATTGTTGGGTTGTTTGTCGGGTTGATTGTTTGGGTTGATTGTTGAGTTGATTGTTGGGTAGATTGTTCGGTCGATTGTTGGTTCAATTGCTGGGACGATTATGGGTCGA